CGGTGATGAAACCCTAACGACATTGAAAATCGGTGATGAAACCCTAATGGCGAGTCCATTCTCCGCCTCCAATGGTTAACTACCTCATCTTCACTTACGGCGACACCTTGTTCGGGCCGCGATGGCCGCAGAGCCACTGAGCTCAGAAACCCTACCCAACGATGGAGAGAGAGAGAGAGAGAGAGAGAGAGTGAATGGGTTAGAGAAATAAAATTTTGAACAGATAAGTGTAGACACCCCATTTTTGACCGCCCTTAAGACTTCGGCGCTTTATTCCAAATACCAGATGATGAAAGTTACACTGTGCAATCTTTTGAATTCTCAACAAAGAAATTTGGATCCAAGCTCTAATCTCAACCCTTGCACCCTATTTCGGCCAAACTATTTTAGACCTTAAAACCCTTATTTCAAAATATTTTTCCAAATGTTTCTACGATGTTTCGTGGCTCGCATTTTGTTTAAAATATTGCACTTTTTGGTAAGCTGAGTAAGGACAAAGTGAAAATACATGAAATGGAGGTGAAATCTTTGAAAAATATTTAAAACATGTTATTTATAGGTATGGAGTTGAAAGAAATAGGAGGGGAGAGAAGAAAACTAGTTTAGGAAGAAGTTGAGCATCAAACCGTTGAAAAAGAATGAGCAGCCTTCACTAAATTAGGCATATATATTTGCAAACTTATAATTTAAATGTGAGGCCATTACCATTGGAAATTAGACTTCTGGGGTTTCAATTCAGACTCAAGAATCACCTAAAACCGAGTTCGGATGAGGGAGAATGCCCATTTGAAGGCGGGCCTAGAATGCAGATTTTTGGACCAGACTGGGTCCATTTAGAACCGGCTGTGCCTCATTTAGACCCGGCCGGGTCTCAATGAAAACTTTTCCAGAGTTACTTTTAAGGCCTGGCTGTGTGTTTTTGGGCCCAGCTGTGTGTTTTGGGGCCCGGCTGGGTCTCAATGGCGAGAAATAGTACAGCTGGCGGGAATTTGCCAGCTGTTGTTTTTTGAAGATATTTTCAACCATTTTGGCTCAAATTCTACAAATAAACCCCCTGCGTTCAAATTTTAAGGTTAGTAAATTTTCCAAAAGCTTTCAAGAGCTAAAAAGACCTTCTTCTATCCTCCTTTCTCTTTTGACCTTCAAACCTTCTTTAGCTATACATACACCATTAGAGCTTGTTCTTGAAGCTTTTTGCTAGAATTTCAAACCATATTTCATAGACTTGAGGGTGTTGGAATCAAGTTTGTTAACTAAGAAGCATCCTCTCTTTGAAGAGGTATAAGCTTCTCCCCCTTTTTTCTTACTTTCATTTCAATCTTTTTCTTATGTTTTCCTATTGTTTTGGATCCATTCCAAGTGTTGGAACTTGGGGTTGAAGAGCTATCAAAGGTAGAGGGGCTTAACACCTTTTCTTGCACCTTATCCCATAGCTCATACCCTTTGTTTTAGCACTCTTTTCTTTGGTTTTTACACTGATTTTCAAAGTTTAAAAAGGCTGAAAAACATGGTTTAAAAGTCTCAAAAGTAGAGGGGTTAGCCATCTCTCTTTGATCTTGCTTGCTAGCTTTATATCTTTTGCTTTTGTCTATCTTTTTGTGCTCTTTAAACACACTTTTAGCCACTGTTTTTTGGATGTTTTGGGACTGTTCTTGGATTGTTTTGGGGCTAAAATATGTGATTTAAAATTACAAAAAATGGAGGAGTTAGCCACCCCTCCTTAGGCATTGTTCCATAGCTTTTTCTCCACTCTTTTTCCTTTCTCTTACTTTTAGCTGCTGTTTTTTTACATTTTAGGGTCTATTTAGGAGTTGTTTAATTCATTTAAATAGTTTATGCTTTGAATATCATACTTGTTGTGTTGTAAGTCCTCATGGCTTCGATTGTTTAGGCCTTAGACGACGAGTCATTTGAGTTGATAGCTTTATTTACTTAGTTTTCATACGAAGAGTTTTATTTTAGATAATCAATTTCGCATAATCATTTCTGCACCCTCCCTCCTTTATTCTTTTCTTTTGTTCGAGAGCTATTTCAAACAAGTGCCTGCTGGTTACGGCATGAGAAAGAGATCTATGCTCAATGGCTTAATCTCTACGGAGGTTCATTATCAATGTATAGTCTCTCTTTCATGCTATGAATCACTTCTTGTTTGACATATCTCTTCATTTAGTGGACTTAAATATCACCTTGGACAAATTGACTAAGTAATGGAAAGGTAAGTCAAAAAAGCTAAAATTGGTTTAAAATCAATGAAACCAACATAAAGAAGATGAATAAAATTGGTTATCCATCGCTTCGAGAATTGTAACTTATCGGTCCATGATATTTTGACGAAACTTGAGGCATGTCTATCTCACTCTTTGAGCCTTCATGATAATAGGGATGGGTGGTCGTCTTCATTGCATTTATTAATTGTTTTGTCCAAATTGTGTTTGAAATCGTCAAGCCATCAACTTGTGCCTATTGACGGTTTCGGACTCAAATTCACTCTTCTCTTGAGTTTCATGATAGAGAGGAGCAAAAGGGACAAAAATGGTTTAAAGTTGCTCTGTCTGTACTACTTTCACCCCAGAGCACAAAAAGCAGATTTTTGCAAGAAATTAGGGCACGACTGGCCTCATTTGGACTTGGCCGGGCCTCATTAGGGGCCGGTCGAGCTCCAATGTTTGGTAAATATAATGCTTTTGGTAGAAATAGAGGGCAGCGGTTGAAGGTGAAACAGAGCAGTCTGGGTAGACAGAGTAGTCACTGAACATTGTCTTCATTAACGCGCATACAATCTTCGTGCATTCTTATTGTTATTTATCTTAAATATAATTATTGTAATTATTGTTTCTTGTTGTTGTAATATTGTTGATGTAATAAGTTAGATATCTAGTTAGTTATTCATTTGAATTTGTAATAGTTAGTTTATTTAGACACTTGGACACTCATTTGAACCCTTTTGCACGAGGGTAAATATGTAATAATGGTGTATATCTTTCAACCCTATTTCTTTCTCCCTTTTTGTTACCTGCTTATAATGGTAGTGTAGAGCATCATGTTTCTTTAGCATTTCTCATGTTCACATACACTTGTTTTATGAAACATTCGGGTTCGACTCATTATACTAACCAATGTCAAAATGTCAATTTCATTGCTTGAATACATGATTTATCACATGTCTTGAATTGGATCACATACCATGCTCACAGTCGAGCCTATAAAATTGCATAAATGTGTGCGTTGCATTAGTCATGTTGCATCGTTTAGAAACATGCATATTTTCTAATCATTTTTCTTTATTTGGCTTGCCTTGGAGTACTAGGTGAGCACTTATTGTTTTAGCATACCGCATAAGTGTGATTGTTGCCATGCCAAGCATAATACCATGAGGCTAGGTGCTTAATTGATATACTTGTTTTAATGCAGGTGGATGAAGGCTAATTGCTAAAATTGAGATAAATTGATTAATGTACATACAAACTCACTATTTTAAGTGACGCGTATTCAAAACACTTTTTTCAAAACAAACATAAAATCAAAATGTTCTAACTTTTGCAATTTAGTCTATACTTGCGTGCATCACCTAGTAAAGATAGCCTAATAAATCGGAACAAGCGCATATAACGTAAATAAGAATCATATCATGATTAGTAGAGGCCGATCTTTGATCGGGCGAGTGGGGTGTTCAATTCATGACCTTTCCCTCTCGTACCTAAGTTCCCAAGCGAGACGCTTTCGTGATGACGAACAAATGGCTTTTTGGCATGAGTCACGGGTTTCCTAAATTTCCCAAATATATTTAGGTGGCAACTCTGAAATCTGGCAAAGCAGTCTATTTTTGAATTTTTTGATTCAAAATCGATTTTCCAAAAGAATTGTCGGATTTGGATTCATTTGTGTTTATCTATTTCGCATTGCACTTGTGAAATCAGATTCAGAACCACGGGAGTTCGAACTATGGGGCTAATCATATCCAAAAAGAGTGCGAAAAGCAAGCTACAATAAGAAATTTATTATTCTGAACAAATATGAGCGAGAACTTTTGAGGGTCGTTTGGTCATTTTGCAGAATGATGTGCTTATGGCCATACTATTTTAGCACTGGACCTTGGGTGCCTCTATTTACACACTACTTTTCATCTCAAGGCACACCACTACGCAAAGCACACCTTTAGTAATTTGATAAATAAGAAATTTGCTCAATACACACCATAATCTTCCATCTTTACCTTTACTCACATACTCCACCCACAATTTTTCATCTTTACCCTTACTCACTCACACACCCCACCTACAATCTTCATTCTTCCATATTCTACACATCCACTTCAAAAACACACACAACGTCCCCCTCCATTCTCTATTTCATTGTCATCCTAGAGGTTTGGGAACCAGTCTAAACTAGTCTCCATTTGTGCTGAAGATGACTTCACTTCATTCTCCTTTGGTTCACAACCTCCTCCATTATATGTTTCATCAAAGACGCCAGTGGTGATCGTTGTTATCATCACAGTTGGAAACAACTCCACATTGGAGATACAGTAGGTGAGAATTCTCATTTGGCTTAGATTTTAGGGTTTTATGTACGTTGTTCCATTGCCATGAGCATTGTATTTGAAAATTTCATTTTGCGAACCGTTTGACACTAGTCTTTAGAATGTTAATGTTTTGTCCGAAGTGTTTATGTCGACCACTTCTAATATGTTCACCATTGTAGTGTCGAACGTAAGTAAATTGTTTAGAGTAAGTCTGTCGAACAAAAGCATGTTGCTCGATATTAGAGTGTCGAACAAAATATAATTATCTAGTTTTGAACTTTCGAAGGACTTATCCTTTACTGTTTTTTGTTCAATTTATAGAAATGGATGACCCTTGCGTATTCCACCCACTGCCTCAAAGAGATGATGTCATACATTAACAAATCCTGCTCGTGGCCGAGATCAGGGTTGAGGTAGGGGTAGAGGTCAGGGTCATGATATTGTGTTGGAGGATTCACCTCAAATCTTACAAGAGGATATGATTAATAATGGTTCAAAAGGTGATGATAATGCTGCTGATGTTAATCAAGCTGACGATAAGGTACTCACTAGTCCGTTTCCCAGGGGCCCATTAGATCCATCAGTACTAAAGAGCTTCGAGGCACATATTGCAGCAGCTATATGGGAGCAAAAGGTAGTATATATATATATATATATTTTTTTTTTTTTATCATGTTTCATTCATTTAATTATTTATTGAACCAAATTATTTATGTTAATTATTACTTACGTTGCAGGAGAGGAATCCCTTAAGGTGCTATAATCATGCGTCCAAGATTCTTGAGTGGCAGTGGTGGTCAAGAACTGACAATAGAAGGTTTAGAGACATTGTGCAGCAGTCAAGCCTATTTTTTTTGGTCCATTGCACATATCGTTTCGTCAATAGGATTGTCATATCTACATTTGTTGAGCGATGGCAACCAGAGACAAATACTTTCCATTTGACAGTTGGTGAGATGACAATGACATTAGATGATGTGGGTACCATCTTGGAGATCCCTATCACAGGTAGATCAGTTAGTGCTGCAAGTTTGACAGATCAACAGGCACATGCACTTGTGGTAGCTGCCTTGGGAGTTGATGATGATGAAGCAACTGATGAGCTATCATCTGCTAGGGGTCAATCAATAAAGCTGGAGTGATTACGGAGCAAATTCAATGGTTGCAAAGATTCAGACACCGAGGAATCTATAGCTTATACCGCTAGAGCGTATTTTGTCATTTATATTGGGATGTACACTGTTCAGCGACAAGAGTGGGACAAGAGTTCCTATTGTGTATTTGCATTTGTTGACGGATTTGATTGATATTCATACATATGCTTGGGGTGCAGCTGCATTGGCATATTTATACCGACAATTGGGATTTGCCACGAGATAAACTGTTCAACAGATGGCTAGTTACATGACATTGTTGGAGGCATGGATTTATGAGCATTTTCGGTCATGTAAACCTCACCAAAACATGGAGTATACTGAACAATTGCCTCATGTGCATCGATGGACTCCTCGTTGGGAAGCTGGTTCAACGGTAGCACACCTATAAGCGTTACGGGAGGAGCTTGACAGATTGGCATTTGATGAGGTATAACAATTAATATTAGTTGAATTAAGTATTCATATTACATGTCACTTATCAAGATTTCATTTGTGTTTCTCTCTTAGGTTACTTGGGATCCATATCGAGATTGCCGTCAATATCACCTATGTCATGAGATCACAGTCTATAGCGGGTGTTTGAAGTGTTTGAATATAGTTGAACCCTATCATCCTGAAAGGGTTCTTAGACAGTTTGTGTAATAGCCCAACCCTTTTATATGCTTTAAGTCTTTAATTATATGTGTGATTACATGCTTGATGTGAGATTCCATGTGTAATTGTGTTTAATTATGTGAATTATATGATTATGAAATCATATCTGTCGGTTATGGAAAAAAATCTGTTGAAATTGTGACATTTGGATTGCAAATTGAAGGCCTTAGAGGCACGATAACCGAAAATTGACTTTACAGTTATGAATATCATGATTTTTAGGATATAATATGAAGTTTTGTAAAAATTTGATTCGTAATGAATTAATTAGCTTTATTTGGCTAATTTCTTAATTATGCCCCATTTTGCCTTAATAAGCTTAATAGAGATATATACAAGAGCCTTAGGAGGCTTAGACAAAAACAAAAAACATATCTCCTGGAGGAGCTCCTAGAGAAGAAAGAAGAGAAAAGAGGGAGAGAAAGAAGGATTCAACATAAGGGCTTGAAGATTGAAGAAATAGATAGAAGATTCAAAGATTTGGCACAAGGTCACTCACTGGAAGGGACCACCACACGACTGGATCACTATGAGTAATAGTAGTGTAACGATATGTTGTATATTGTGATTTATCTATTGTCGATCACGAATGATATGTTTTGATCAACTTGTGTTTTGATTTAAGTGATTGAGTATTTGCTAGCAATGACATGTGATTGGGCCTAAGGCCATTCTGTTAATATGTTGGGCCTGAGGCCGCTCTATTATTACTGGGCCTGAGGTCGTTCTGTTATTATTGGGCTTGAAGCTGTTCTGTTATTATTGGGCCTAAGGCCGTTCCGGAATGTGTTGATGAAAAGGACATACATGTGATACATACATATTCTTCAAGACACGTGCTTATTTACATGCCTTCATACATTATTATTATTCACTGAGCCTGGCTCATTCCGTATTCGTGTATGTTTTGTAGGTGGTCATCTTGGAGGTCAGCCCTAGGTCAGATTCAAGCACCTTTTGTGGACTTGTTTTGTTAAGCCCCAAAGTTGGAGTCCTTTGCCTCTTAAGGAGTCTGTTGTTGCCACATTTTGTTTTTATCAAGTTCTTGGTGGCTCTCGTTAAACAATTTACAGTCATGTAAGTTTTGGGTTATTAACTTGTTGTATGTACACATGACTTGGACTTGTATGAATATAAACTGTGCATGCGGGCTTCTCTGCCTATGATAAAATGCATCATAATCCTGGCAAATATGCACTGCTCAATGAACATTCTAGTATTTAATTACTTCCATTTTGAGCCCCGTTAGTGAATAAAATACTTCTAAAATTTTGTTTTTAGGCCTAAGTACTGGCCGTTCATGGCCTAAAATTTTAGGGACAGGTTTGGGTGATGACAGTTGGTATCAGAGCACGAGTAAACATCTTACACACGTGTCCAGTGAGCTATAAGGAGTCTAGAAAAGACATAGGCTGCATGCATGATGATTCTCTGTGTTGTGAATTTCCTATGAAAGATGACTAATGATCATTGTCTATATACACTTGTGTCTCTCTTTGTCTGCATTATAATCCTTTGATATGTAGATCATAGTGAGGACAAGAATGGATGATATAGAAGGCTCTATCTCCGCACGGCTTGATCAGTTGGAAATGATGATTGCGGACATGGAAGAAACTATGAGACAACAACAGGAACAACAACAATAGCAACCACCACCACTACCAGTGCCTATACCACCACTAGTGGTGCAAGACCATCAAGCTGAGGACCGAACCATTGCACTGACAAAAGAGTTTAAGAAGATAAAGTCACTGTCGTTTAAAGAAGGCATTGAACCAATGAAAGCCGAGGCATAGGTACCAGGTATAGAGAAGTTGTTTGAAGTCTTTCCTTGTACCGAGGCACAGAAAGTACAACCTGCAACTTTTACTCTCGAGGATGAAGCATGGAGGTGGTGGACGCTCACTCGAAATAAACATCAAGGTTTGACCAGGGCTCGATTTTTGGAGCTTTTTTAATGATAAGTATTTCCCATAATGCATGCAGGATAAGAAAATAACATAATTTGAGACTTTAAGGCAAGGGAACAAGATGGCAGCAGAGTATGAAGCACAATTTTCGGAGTTAGCCCGTTTCGCACAACACATGGTGGATACAGACTACAAAAAAGCGAGAAAATTTGAAGGAGGACTCCAGAATGCTATCTTAGATCGGATAAATGTGTTGAAATTGCCTACCTATATCGATGTGTTGGAAAGGGCGATAGTAGCTAAAGGTAATATAGTTGCTCAAAATCGAATCTCTGAATGGAAGGGAAAAAGACAGAATGCACGAGCACCAAGGGGACCGATGGCATTGCAAAACAAGAAACCGAACTTGGGCACCTCTAGTACTTTTGCCTCTACTCAGGAATCAGCACCAATTTGTCCGGATTGTGGGAGGAGACACCATGGGTCATGTTACCGGGTAACTGGGGCTTGTTTCAAATGTGGAAAGACATGACATTTAGTACGAGATTGCCCTCAGAGAGACTGACAGAATGGGAATAGAACTACTGCAAGGTCAGTCGGTGCAACTCCAGCTCCAACAGCAACAAAGACTGCTGCCAAAGCTACTGGGACCAGAAATGATGTGAGATAGGGATGAGTGTTTGCCTTTATTCCTGGTGATGTGCAAAATACAGAGGTTGTGGTGTCAGGTACATTTTCTATCAATGGTCACTCTGCTCATGTATTATTTGATTCGGGATCTGCCCATTCTTTTGTGTCGAAAACCTTTGCTAGTAATTTGAATAGACCTAAGAAATCATTGCATTATGTGTTATGTGTTTTTTCATCCTTGGAGGGCTCTATGTTATGTACGTTTGTTTACACTGCTTGTGAGATCATAATTGGGGATGTTCAGTTATATGCCGATTTGTTGCCCCATGACTTGGCTTATTTTGACATAATTTTAGGGATGGATTGGCTAAGTAAACATTATGTGACTATTTATTGTAAGTCAAAACAAGTTATCTTTCGATCTCCAGGACAGTTTGAATTTACTTTTGAGGGGCATGGAGTGATTCCTCCACCTTACCTGATTTCATCAATAAAAGTGTGCAAATTGTTACAAAAGGGTTGTCGGGGGTGTATGTGTAGCATTTTGAATGGACAACTAGTGGATGTGTGTGTTGACACAATCCCAATTGTCCGTGAATTCCCGAATGTTTTTCCACAAGAGTTACTAGAAGAGCTAGTGGATTGTGAAATTGAATTTACAATTGAAGTTGTGCCGGGAACTTAACCTATTTCGAAACCACCTTATCGAATGTCACTGGCTGAAATGAAGGAATTGAAGGTACAGTTGCAAGACTTGCTTGATAAAGAATTTATTCGCCCGAGTACCTCTCCTTGGGGCGCACCAGTTCTTTTTGTAAAGAAGAAAGATGGGACACTGCGGTTATATGTTGACTACAGGGAGCTCAATAAAGTAAATGTAAAGAATAAGTATCCCTTGCCTAAAATAGATGATTTGTTTGATCAATTACAAGGTGCACAAGTCTTTTCAAAAATAGATTTGATATTCGGATATCACCAATTGAAAGTAAAGGTTGAAGACATTGAGAAGATTGCTTTCCGCACTTGATACAGACATTACGAATTTTTGGTTATGCCATTCGGGGTTAATAATGCACCGGCGGCCTTCATGGATTTGATGAACTGTGTTTTCAAGCCGTACTTGGATAACTTTGTGGTGGTGTTTATTAATGATATACTTATCTATTCGAAAAGTACGGAAGTTCATGAGAATCATTTACGACTAATTCTTCAAACCCTTAGAGATAAGAAATTATATGCGAAATTAAAGAAATGTGATTTTTGGTTACATGAAGTAGTGTTTAATAAGGAGGGTGTCTCTGTTGACCCGCACAAGATAGAAGCCATTGTGAATTGGTCAACTCCGACGAAGGTGACCAAGGTGCGTAGCTTTTTGGACTTAGCCGGATACTATTAGAGATTTGTTAGAGACTTTTCCAAGATAGCAGTGTCGCTTACCCAATTGACCTAAAAGGGTGTTCTGTTTGAGTGGACTAAACAAAGAGAATTTGCTTTCCAAGAATTGAAGACAAGGTTAACTACAGCACCAGTTCTTGTTTTACCATCCAATACCGAGGGATTTGTGATTTACAGTGACGCCTATTACAAAGGATTGGGTTGTGTACTTATGCAGAATGGAAGGGTCATCGTCTATGCCTCTCGCCAACTCAAGCCTCATGAAAATAATTATCCTACACACAACCTGGAACTAGCCACAGTGGTATTTGCCTTGAAGATATGGCGACACTATCTATATAGGACAACATGTGAAGTCTACACCGACCATAAAAGCCTCAAGTACTTCTTTAT